AACATAAATAAACGAATCAAATCTTGTTTCTCAAGCCACTATAATGGCGTCCATGCTATCCCTTAATTTGTTAGAATCCCTTAAAGGGTGCCCACAAAAGGGTTAATCGTGATGTGTATGTAAGATATTCTACGAAAACATTTTCACACAATCAATAGCTTCCTTTTTATTGATAAATAATCAAAATACCACAAATAGAATTAAAATTACAATTTATTTATCAATGATGGAAAATAATCATGGAAGTTTTCTGGAAATGTCTTTGGCTGTGCATAAAGAATAATGTGTTTCAGTTTTGCACAGTTGGCACTCGCAGCATCACTTGTGAAATTGTCTGTCGCATTTCTCAAATCTTCATATAGAGCGGATAATTTGTTAAGACATGGTAGACGTGTGTTTGATTGAAAAAGAAATTGTTTGATGTAGTCAATATGTACACGATTGAGACTGAGATACACAAGATGAGGATACTCAATAATTGAAGATGTTTGTTTATGTTCATCTTGTTGGCGTGTCAACTTCTTCTTTTGTCCGTGAATGTTGATTACGTTCAATATATTGAGTAATGGAAAAGCTTGAGAGATTCGAGCGAAGAAATCGTGTTCGAATGGAACAAAGAAATCATATACTTGCAGTTTGCGAACACTCATAAATAGACCACCAGGAAAATTGTTCGAAACGTTAAACATATACTCCATAGTAAACGGAAGTGAGTAAATATGACATTGATTTAATTCTCGTGAATAACAATCGATATAACAATCAACATGATATCCTTTTTCAATGAACGTACGCTTAATATCATCAGAAGATCGTAGTAATTCTTGATTATCTTTGACATCTTTAGTGATGATATTGAAGGTAAATGTATGCAGATGTGGCATTTTACAAAGAAAACCATTATACAACTGAGTACCATCAATAAATGAAATTCGCTTTAGAACAATAAGAGATAATGTAAGTTTCTTCAATTGTGACATTTGACTAAGAAGCGGTACAATTCCGATATCATACTTATCCGTTCGATCAGTTGAAAATAGCGAGAAAACTTTTAGATTCGATAGAGTTCTCTACAAAAAAAATTTAAATTAACAGAGAGTAAGTGGTATCGCATTGATTATGGATTCAAAAACAGGAATAATTAGATATCTCAACAATATTATTTCAATCGTTTTCTCTTTATTCATCACATCTCAAATTAAAACAGGATCAAGTATATGAATACATAGTTTTATATTATAGGCAGTCTTTTATACAGGTTTTTTCTCCCGGAGGGGCGTTTTGAAACTCCGAGGGAGCGAACACTTCTTTTCGGGAGGGCAAACACATAGTTCGTAGAGCGATGACCACGAGTCCGAGGGGGAGCGAACTCACTTTTCGCCCCCCCCCCTCGGGCACCCCTCTGGATAAAACACTGATTATAGGATTTTCTCATTTAATAAAATACTACACTCACCCTCAACAATCTATTTCTCATTATTCGATTCTTGTAGAAATCGAAATAACAAAGCTCTTTCGTTATGATTCGAAATTCTTTACCTTCTTACGAATACTCATTGATAAATCATCAATGTTATCAACTTTGACAATAAATGTATGTAATTGACTAAGACGTCCATCAAGTAAACAAAGACAATCATCAAAATTGCGCACCCTAACATTCAAATGACCAATACGTGATGATTGACATGTTGTCGATAGTAATTTAATAAATGATGTTGGTGGATACACAAAACTGTCGTCAAACTTAAAATCAAGATGAATCAAATTTGTAAACATAGCAAGAATGTTAGCAAAAATATTTGTGGCTACATCTTTTATTCGTATAGCTGTAATATCATCATTAATCGTTACAACAAGATGTGAAATCTGATGCTTATAGATATGAATAAATGATCCTTCTAAATATATAACAATAAATTAATCGAATGAGTTTCTTTATTCAAAGATTGAGAAAACAGATAACATACTATTTAAAATACGAGACGCCATTTTAAGTGAAAGATTAACAAGAATAAGTTTATTGAGTTTAGGATAATTTCCAATGCGAAGAATTCGATCTGTTGACAATGGACCAACAATAAGACATTCAATATTGTATTGAATTCGAGGTATTATATCAAAACAAAATCGTTCAAGTATTGAATTAGTTCTTGACTCATTATCTTCATTCGATGATATTGTTACTAAATCAACAGATCGTGTAAATGTACAATCCTGAGCCAATTTATCGAGTTTTTGATTGACTCCTATGAAAGAATATAATACATCGATCTTGTTGAGTTTGTTGAAAATGGTAAGCAAAATCTCGTCGCATAGACCAAGGATATTAACTGTTGAATAGTTCATGTTCAATGAGAAATGTCGTAAATTTCAATCTATATATACGTCTATATCCATTGTAACTTATATTATACCAGACGTCATCAACAATGACAATGTTAAACGGTTGGACGGTAAATATCGTGACCTTTCTTTAGTTCGGTCATCAATCAATAATGATTGTTATACTGTCTCTTCCAAGGCTCTTGATTGTTTTTGAGAGTGGCGGGGGCTAAAATTTTTTTTTCTTTTCCCAGACACTTCACAAAAACTTGGCAGACAGTCACTTATTTTTGTGGGAACTTCCCAATTTTTCATTAAAAGTGATGCCGGGGGGGGGGGGGGGGGGGGGGGGGAGTAGCGCGACGAAGATACCTCTACCCCCTCCAAGGCTACGTAAAATCTTCGGAAAAATTGTCTGAAAACAAAAACTTTTCACCGCTAACATTATCACGTGACCAGTCGACTGCAGCCTTAAAATTAAATTTCGCAGACTATATTACACATTTTTGCCAGACAGTATTAAAAATTTTTGCAGACATGCTTAAAAAATGCCGGGGGCTAGCCCCCGCCACATCGTGGGGCCTGGTGGAGTAATAAGGCCTGGTCTCTGCTCAGAAAAAAGTCGTTTCATTTGGCCTACCAATATCCCATGTCGATAGGACACGCTAGTGACACATGTGCCTAATGTGTGTGTGGGCACCGTTTAAGGGATTCTAACGAATTAAGGGATAACATGGACGCCATTATAGAGGCTCGAGAAACAAAATTTGATTGGTTTATTTATGTTATAAATATAAACTCTTTTATCGTATTATGATTCATTGAAAAAACAGTGAAAGTATCTCCGTTTGAAAACTGTACTCAAGAGAGAACCTGAAACTAAAAGTCCGATGATGTTTATTTCGTCCGAAAAAATTTAAGAAAGAAATTCTGAACAACGTACAAAAATTTGCAACAAATCTGGAATTGTTCTAATTATGCATAAAAAAGAACTTTGTAGAATATTTGTTAGAGCTAGGCTCTTTTCAATTCTGACTTTTCTTTCGATGAATGAAAGCCAGTTGACAAGTGGTTTTTTTCGTTATTATGTAATAGAAAGCGTTTGAAGTATTCTAACGAGACTTAAAACCTGTAAGAGTGTGATGCCTATCGAACGCGTAGATTTTTCAGGCGCCACGGCAACTAAACAAGTGAGTGAAAAATGAAGAAAATATTTGCAACACAAATAAAATAGAAAAATAATCTAAGAAGATTAGTATCATTGTGCGCTGAAAAATGTTTTTCTGTACTTGACTCTATGAAGGAAGATCAGAATAGAGACTTGTGAAAGCGGATTTCTAGATTTTTGCTGAGAAGAATGAATTTCTATTTTATTTTATGCATTGTTTAAATTGCTCATTTAAAGTTCACCAGATCACGAATTGTTCTTTAACAATGTTCTTGAGTTTGTGTTTTCATTTCTAAAGTAACACAGAATCTGACTCTGTTAGTTCTGATTTGTACATTCCATAAACAATGTTTATCCAGATATGTGCAGTTTACAATTATCTTTTAATAGAATTTTAAAAAATCAATTCAGCCATGTGGTAATAAAAACTAAAAATTGGATGTCAAATTTAGATACCATGAAACTGCAACGAATATTCAGTATCAGCCAGCAGATAGTAGAAATTTAACTATGAACGAAGAAAATAAGGCAATTTTTGATATAACAAGAAGTTTCTATCAAATAATGTTCTTGTATTATGGCATGTAGAGTAATGTTAAATATAATTCAATTGATTTAGTGAGAAAATTCAATAAATGTTTGATAAAAATTCCTAAGATTCTCATCATATAAACAAATGATATTGAGATTTTCCGAAAATTCAAATTGAGTTTCTGCCATTTATCAATAATAGCAATTTA